TATAGAAAAGTATTGTGAGTATAAATCTTCAGGCTAGTGGAACCAGATATCTTTTTATCTATTAGCTAATTCGGCAAGTTTAAGATTGATAAAACTGGATGCTTTGTGGGCACAGTATATAAGAATTCACTTTCGAGAGATCAGAGTTCTTATAGAAGTCCCACGAGTTCTTGACCAAACTGTTCCAACAATATTCTTAAGGGAAGCTTACACATATACCCATCTTTTAATTTCATCAGGTTTATTTCGTATTTCTAAGCTTTGCACCAACAAAACTCAACTATTTTCTCAAAACCAAAACATGCTCAAGAAGTTCATGAAAATCTCTGATTCTCAGTAAGTCCAGTTCATGTGGAAACAATCTTGGTACTATATCACTCTAGTACTTGAAGCGATCATAGTGTCGGCGTTCACTTGCACCGCCACTTTGGGGACTTTGTGCCCACTGTGTGCACATTTATGATTCTAGCACATCAATAACCAAGGAAGACTGAATTTGTGATTTAATATGTTATTTATTAATATGCTATATTATGCATTATTTGGTCAAAACTTTTAAAAAAGATTATCAATATGTTATTTATTAATATATAATAACTTAAAATTTCAAATTTATAATCTATAATTACATACGTACAACCTCTAAAACTCCATGTTTTAAATCTATAAAATTAGCTGATAAATACGTTCAAATACATAATAATATTAAGGGGTCGTTTACCAAACACTTACCACAAGAGTCACAACTCTCGTTTACCTTATGGGGTAACATTCTCAGTCATCAAAATGAATTAGTGGTAGACGTTTATAACCCAGTAAACGCTTACTGGATAAGAGTCATCACCCTCACATGTAAGGCTCTTGATCCTTGTCTTCTTCTTACTGGGTAAAATTCTCGATCCTTGTTATGTTCATCCGGATAAGGTAATTGAACCGGTAAACGCTTACAAAGGTAAGTGTTTAGTAAACGATTACAAAGGTAAGTGTTTAGTAAACGACCCTTAAGTTCTATATTATTAGGCTGCATCAAAGGTATGGTATTCTTAATAAAAACTTACATCAATATTCTATTTTCAATATAAAAGTTTATGTTTTTAACTCTGTAACGTAACTGATAAACACGTTAAAATAAATAATAATCGTTGAACTTATTCATATGATATAATTTTTCATAATTTTATATTGTTTTCTTTTAATAAAAATATATTAATTTTTATATTCTTAATGTATAATAAACTTTTAGGCATAAACTAATTTTATGGGAATTGTAATCAAAACAAATTTGGGTTATAATTTTAGTAAAATATTATATTTAAATAATAGGAAAAAAAATGCCTCTGACTTGTAACTTAGTTGGTAAAGAGGCGAGACGACTTTTCTGAAATACAAGACAAGGTCTTGGTTCGATCACAAGACCTTGCTAGGCTCAGTCGCTAAATAAATTTAGCAAAAATCTTTTTGTTTGTAAAGTTATAATATGTTGTTTTGTATGTTCTAAAAAATTATAGTTTATTCCTTTTAAAAGTATTAAAGATTTAGGGTCGTTTACGAAATGTTTACAGAGCAAGTGCTTATAGGCTGTCACTTTACCTTCAGGTGAACATAATAAGAATCTAGAATCTTACTTGGTAAGAGGCATAGTAAGGATCAAAAATCTTACTCTTTAAGTAATGGAGGAGACTTTTACCTGGTAAAAGCTTGTTGGGTAAAACACTCTTACCAATACCAATGATCCATTTTGATGTTCGAGAATTTGACCCTCAATAAGGTAAATAAAGGTGGCGTTCTTACGGGTAAGCGTTTACCCGATAAATTTTTGATAAATGACCTATTAGTTTGTTTCCTAAATTGTATAAAGATTTCATACATTTTTCAAAATGAAGCTTCCAAAGGCAGAATTACAATTTTTGTCCCTATGGTTTACATAAATCTATGTTGTTCATAAACTTTAATAAGGAGAGAAATGGTTACCGTGATTTGCATTTTGCTTAAAAAGGTCCCTCTAATCAACTCTGTTAAAATTTGCATGTTAAGTGATGGAAATTTCGTCCTTTTTACCCTTTTTGTCATTTTATGTGTTATCCTGTACTTGAATAAAAAACTTCATGATTAGAATTGTAATTTACCTTTTTACTTTGTGACGAAGGATCGTGTGAGAATATCAGTTAAGGTGAGAAGTGTATAAAAAGGGATTTGGACCTTTGATCACTTTTAATCTCAAACCAACCTATGAATGTATTTTAGAAAGGTATTGATTCGGTGATTCTCATTAATATTGATCTAGTGGAACTCTTCAATTAGGATTGATCCAAGTGTTAAGTCTCATTCCTACCCTTCTCGCCATAACTCTCATTTTTACCGGAACACAACCCTTACTTTGTTTACTTCTTTACTTTTTTGTATTGTTGTTTTTTTTTTCTCTTTATATATATAATCTCACACACACACACACACACACTATATATATATATATATATATAACAAGTAGTTTAGTTTTTTTACTCTTTTTACTTTGTTTATCTGATGACCTTCCCTGAACTGCTTCGCGAACCACCCTAAACTAAGGTGAAGCCTTAGTGACAACCATAAGCACCACTTCTATTCTCCATTTCAACACAATCAAGCATCACAGCTTGTTCAAGTCATACGGTTTAATCCACATATGTAGTGACAAGCTGATGATATTTAGGCCTAAGTTTGGGTCGTAACATTAGTGTATATAGTAAATTAATGATGCTAATGTATGCGTATATTTGAACCATGAACACATAAAGCATTATGAGTGTATGTGTGCACTTGTGAGCAACCCAAAAGCAAGTAAGATGTGTGTTTTGTGTGTATGTGATATATGCATGTGTCATGTGTGTATCGCAAGATAACATCAAAACAACAAAGACCAAGGGCCCTAACAAAAATGGTTGTCGAATCTAACAGTGGGGGTGGTGGTGTGAAGCTATCAGTGGGTTTCATTTGGAGAGAGAAAGATGGAGAAGAAGAAGAAGAAAATACATCTAGTGATCTAGAATTTTTGGTGATACATCCAACAATGGTCGATGAAAAACACAAGGAAAAGCATGAGCTCGGGTATTTTGTTACTCGATCAACAACATCAACACTGGGGAGAAGCTTTCAAGATAGGCAAAGGAGCCCTGGCCAGCAACAAAACTAAAGCTTCACACGGGTCCACTCGTCCATCGTTCATAAATGCATGTGTACCTCTAGATGGGCGAGGCCCGGTCTCCCGCTCCCTTATCCTATGCAACATTTATTAGCTTAGTTGGGTTTGGTGGATCGTGCAATATGCCTCTTTCGACCAAACCCAAATATTCCATGTTTCGCACAAAAGGTCGTATGCCACAGACAATCAAAACTAAACTTAAGATCTTTACAAAAAGCATTGCTACATAACCAATCCGTGAATGCCAAGGAGTAGAAGGCACTTTGATGCTCAGTGGGAATAAAGATGTTCCACATCAATTTAGTAAAGTGACATTCACACAAAACATGTAAATAATCCTCAAAGGCGTCCACATCTAGAACAATTGCTAGACTCTGAAAAGAAGAAGATAAAGGATGAAAGGGGATGGTCAGATGAACCCACGAGGGTTGGAGAGTTGTAAATGGTGGATGTGGGGTGCATACTGATGGAGACGGAGATATGGAACAATGTGGTGTGCACATTTACGTTACCAATTAACTTGTACGATACATCTCTCTAATGCATAAGATCCTAATAATTTATGATCCAGCGCCATTTTGCAACTGATGAATTTGTTTTCACTTAACTTATTACCTTAACATTTAGTTCTAAGTTTGTAATTAACTTATGAAATATGATAGTAGTATATAGAGTAAATTACAATTTTGGTTCTTATGGTATATTCCGACTATCACCTTTTACCAATGAACTTTATTTATCACACCGGTGGTCATTGTAGTTTGCAATTTGTTTCAATTTTGGTCCTCTAATTGAAGGTGGTAAAAAAAGGATTTAAGTAAAGTGCATTTTGGTCTTTTTTTCATTTTTCATTTCATTGTAAAATTTATACAATATATTATAATATACACATACACATGCCATAGATCGAACTGTCACACCGTCCTTGTCTTTATTGAAGTACCACTAGTGATCCTACATTATCCCTATCTACCGCCTTTCTCCGCTTGATATAACTCTAACGAACAAAAGAACTCCCCCACATCATCTCCATGCACAAAATCCTGAAACCAACTCAATGAACATCTCTGACGAGATGGGTTTTGGACCATTCTTTCAGATATAAGTTTGGTTGGAAGATGGGTTTTGAATGTAGAAGCATTTTTACATTCGGGTTTGGTTGGAATTTGAACAAAGAGACGATTTTTGGATTTGAAGTTTTTCATATTTGGGAACGAAGATGAGACATTCAGATTTGGGTTGCCGATTTGAAGCTTTTTTTTATGCATTAATTTGAACTTTTGAAGAAATCCATGTTTGTTTGTAATTCACAAGATGGGTTTTGATTCGAACTTCAGACTTGGGTTTGTCGAAGAAAATGACCAGAAGGGGAAGGGCACAATTAGAGCTGGGCTAAGGTAGATGGTGGTGGTGCCTCAGAGTAGTGGAGTATGGTAAGGATGGTGGTGTTTAAAGAAGGTAGTGTTTGATGCTTGGGGGACGTCAGAAATAACAGCGATGCAATGGAAACAATTTTGAGGAAAAAGAAGAAAAATACAAAAAGGGTAGACACATTTACCTCTCACTCAAATGACGATTTCTTACGATATAGACCACTTTCAACGTAAAATGCAAACCACAAGGACTATTATGTAATTATTGAAGTTTAAAACCAGTATTCGTAGTTTTGTATAAATCATATGGACCAAAATTGTAATTTACTCATTTTTCAATGTTGTTACAACTGATAAAGGAATATAAGCTGCATTCAAAGTATTTTTGCCGATTTATCCATTTGTTTAACCATGGTCCCATCCTTCTTCATATTCTCCGTGCCGTTCCGACCCCCCCATTTCCAGTTTTAACCGACGAAACACACTCTGAAACACCCACACAGCCTCTCTTTCTCTCTCTTCAGCACAGGCAAAACACACACTAAATACACTGCTCTTCACACACCTGCTTCAACTTTCTCTCTCTAGCCAGCATTGTCTTCCTACAGACCACACTTCTTCGATTACTGTAGGAATATGGCTTATTGATTTTGACCGGTATTATGATGTGAAACCCTAGCCTCGGTAAGCCTACGGTTAGGGTTTTCATATTTTGTACTCTGGAACTCAATTCTGTTTGGGTATCTCTGGATTTAGATGGGGAATTGTTGCAGATCTCCAGCGGCTGTTGCGAGGGAAGATGTGAAGTCTTCGAACTACTCTGGTCACGATCATAACAACAAGAAGGACAAGTCTAACGTTGCCAACGGTAAGAAGGCGCCGATCACTGTCCTAACTGATGTGTCCAAGGAAAATATTGAAGAGAAGTATATGTTGGATAGGGAGCTTGGACGCGGAGAATTCGGAGTGACCTACTTGTGTATAGATCGGAGGTCGAGGGAATTGTTGGCTTGCAAGTCGATTTCGAAGCGAAAACTACGGACGGCTGTGGATGTTGAGGATGTGAGGAGAGAAGTGGCTATCATGAAACACTTACCGGAAAACTCGAGTATTGTGACGTTGAGAGAGGCTCGTGAGGACGAGAGTGCGGTGCATTTGGTGATGGAGCTGTGCGAGGGAGGTGAGCTGTTTGATCGGATTGTTGCGCGTGGGCATTACACGGAGCGTGCAGCTGCGGCAGTGACTAGGACAATAGTGGAGGTTGTGCAGCTGTGTCATAAGCATGGAGTGATTCATAGAGACTTAAAGCCAGAGAATTTCTTGTTTGCAAACAAAAAGGAGAATTCGCCTCTCAAAGCTATTGACTTTGGCCTGTCTATCTTCTTCAAGCCAGGTAAATGATTTCTACAACTTCCAGAAGCCTAGAACCAAGATTTAAAATTTTAGTTGCGAAGTGATGAAGATTTTAAAATCGGTTTTACGGATTTAGTAAGTGATTGATCTTACTTTCCACTTAGACGTGTTAAGATAAATTCTATTCTATAATTGAAGTTGTGGAAACTCAGCCAACCATGGTATTATTTGGTTGATAGGGTCCTCTAATTGAATAATTGATATAAGAGATAACAAGAACAAGAAACAATAACAACTACTTTCCTCATAAACCAACTGGGGTTAACTAATACTGAAACCAATTTTTTTTTTATCAAGCGTTGAACCTGTTTAGGTTTCTTGGATAGGAACGTAGTCTTTCCACCTTACCAATTTAAGACCAGCTTTGGTTGTATGCTTCACAGTTCACTCATGTAAATCTCTCTTCATTGCTTTGCCAAATCAATCATGACTGACCTCCGAATCTCCTTATAACCTGTTCTTTGTACAATTCTCATCTTCTAGCTCACACTTATTAGAGGTGACTAAACCACCTTAACTGTACTTAACTCAACTTCTCCCTGGTCGGTGCCATCCAACTTTATTCTGCATCCTTATTCCGCATCCTGTATGTTGTTTGATCACATATCCATTTCAACAATTACATATCTTCTACGCTTGCATTCTCTACACGTTGGAATTTGGTGGCTCAACAATTACATCTCTTCTACCTTATTCTGGATCCTTATATCATGATAACCATTTAGCTTCATCTGGAACCTTGTTAAGTCGCTGCCATATGTATCCTTAATCATGTTACATACATTGTCAGGACCTTCTATCAGGGACGGACCCAGAATTTTTTTCAAATGGTGGCACCATTTGACCATAAGAAAAAAAAATATTGGGAAAATTTTCAATTGGTGGCACCGTTTGACTATAAGAAACAAATATACGGAATTTTTTCCAAACGGTGACGTCATTTGATTAAGAAAATGACACTAACGGGATTCGAACTTGGGTGTGGGGTGGAATAAAAGCCTTGCAAACCAACTCTACCAAATAAATCTTGTTCTCATTGTAGTTTCAAAATACATACAGTGGCACACAACAAACTAATACGGTTGCACCATTCTCGAAGCCTAATTTTTTTACCCTTCGGCGGAGAAATAATACGGTGGCACGTGCCACCTATACCACAAGCCTGGGTCCGTCCATGCCTTCTATATCTCCCAAGGATTCCCCAAGCCTCAAGACCAATACTATTAGATCCTTGAGCTTTACCTAATTTCATATGCTTTTAGCTTTCTGATTCTAGTATAAACCTTCTATTTGTATTGATTCACCAACTTCTCCTTCACTCTTGATATTTTCTTTACAATAATTTATGAAAGTAATCCTTCATCGTTCTCTTAGCAGATCATTTTTATGTATCGTATGCTTCTCATTGTTGATGCATTTGCTGTGACATATATCCCCTTTATTCCTTTATCTCATCTTAGGTGGCTTGCATATTCCACTTTCCACTCTTTTGTAGTTTCTCTTATGTTCTTTCATGTGCCTTAGATTTAGCTTCTCTTAGTGCCTTCTTAGTTTCCCTTTTTGTTACTCCATACTTTTATATGTTCTCTACCAGAGATAATGTCAGATCATTTTGGAATGGATGTCTCTTAATCATCATGTTGGTAGGTTATGAAGAAGTATTATATAACTTTGTTTACTCATTATGATGGGATTTATTAGAGCTGCCTAGTAGATAGGTTCACTGATCACTTATGCAAATAAGAACCTGATATGTAGGTATCTTAATACCCCACTTTTAAACGGAGAGGGGCTACCGTCTCTTTTAGACGGAGAGGTGCTACTGCAACCGACTTGGGGAGGGAGGCTACCGTCGACCGATAGGGAGACTAAAAACAAAAGGGAAAATTTTCTCCTATTGTGTATCGTTTTGGTGGCATGGCCAAGTGGTAAGGCAAGGGACTGCAAATCCTTTTTCCCCAATTCAAATCCGGATGTCGCCTCATCAACAAATAAATTGAATAAAGACTCGCGAGAATCTCTGAGTCGTTAGGCATTGAATCACTATTAAATTGAGATTGGATGGATAATTTACTTTTTTATAGAAAAAGTATAGAAAAAGTGAAAAAAAAAATCATTTTTTCCCCTCCTCAAGAGTATAATATACCATCTTCCTCAACTTAGGAAAAAGAGTAGCTGTTATAGGGTTTCTACTGAATATAAATAAGAAAAGGGTGAGGCAGAAACTATTGACCATTTGGAGAACGTGACTTTATGGGCCTGTTGATCGCTTGAGTCTTAGGACTTCGTGTTAACTAACCATAGTCTTTTATCTTTGACTGAATCTGTGTTTTTTAATCAGTTTGGATATGGATTGATTTTGGACATGCAGGCGGTGCCTTCCGTTTCGGACTGTTACCTTGTATAGTCATATGGTTCCTTTCTATGCAGTTAATAGCGCACTATAGCGCCGTTATAGCGGCGAAATGGCGAATAGCAGTCCTGGCCAAAATAGAGGTGCAGTAGTGGTGTATTATAGCGGTACTGAAAATAGCGGCCGCTATTACCGCTATTAACCGTGATTACCAAATAGCGGTCGCTATTACTGACTTTTCTTTTTGAGCGCTTTTGGACTCCTTTTTTTAATTAAAATTCTATTTGGGCTTTTATTGTGTCATTTATGTGGCCTATTTAGAATAAAACTTAGGCATGTAAGCAAAAGAGGAAACCAATTAAATCAACAATAGAAACAATCAGGTCAAACTTTGGTATTAATTCCAAGTTCAAAAAGCTTCAACAGCTTGAGCTTTCTTCCCTACTCCGTGGTTCCACGGGTTTTCTACTGGAGTTTTCTTCTCATCTCGACAGCACAGCTCCTATTACTTTGTTGCTTGTGTGGTTTGAATTGTTTGACTTGATATGTATAAGACATACAATATTGTAAGTTTTATATATATATATATATATATATATATATATATATATATATATATTCGTATTTATTTTATGAACATAATTTTTTTATCGCTATATCACTGTGATAACCGCTATTTCAAATCAAGGTCCCGACCGCTATTTTCGCAATGGACCGCATTAACTGCTTAGGTTCCTGTTACAATGTAATTCTGGAAAGTTTAAGGCATGGGATTGTATTATTTAAAGTTTCATATTTTGCATCTAAAAGTAGCAATATTATGACAACCTTTATGAATGATGTTAACATGGTATGTAAGAAGTTGCAATTTATCTTTGCATATTCAGTTCTATCAAAATATTCTTTTTGTCCTTTAAAGGGATCTGCAAATTCGATCATTTTGAACTACATGCAGGCCAAAACATCCCTTGACACTAAAGCCCGATCAATAACCTTCAATCACAAGATTCATGTCAATTGTCAACATGATTTCTTGTGAAGACTGACTGATCAGTTGTTTCTTGTCCTTTATGAAATTATTGTCAGACCTCCCTCTGTCAAAGGTGTTGCATTCCAGTAACCATGTTCTCTTCCCTAAAAGATTATTGTACACAATAAAATGTGTTCTGAAAAGTGCTAGGTAAATGTAGGTGGTCGAATGAGTACCTAGCGCTTAATCGATTAAGCGGATGCATTAAGTGGTATCTTTTGGCGTATACAAATATTGATACCTTAAATAATAATACACCATAACTACAGAATCAAGATTCAGCGATAAACCTTTATAATTAGCATGCTAATCAATTGAAGCGAGTGAAAATGGATTGCAATTCTCTTAAAACGGATTTTAGTATGTACTATTGTAAATGATATTATTAAACCATTTAATAATAATTTATGTAATTTATCATTTATATACAAATTACTAGTATTTGGAATTTAGTATTTGCTTTTCTAATAGAAAATCCAACTACCAAAAGTCTAAGCTTTACGTCGAGTAATAAATGTTGTACTCTGTTCTAAACATGCAACTCTTGATTTGGACATAGTTTAATAAAAATGTTTGACTATTGATTAAATATCCAAAAGAACAAAATAAAGAGAACTTTTGGATCAAAATCGAAGTTACTAATTCCAGGCAATGGTTATTAAGGGGGCAGAAAATTGAAGTAGGTTTAGAAGCTTAACCAAAAAGGAAACATTGCATTTCCTGTGCCGATCCGAAATAGCAAATGTTGCAGTTACTTAGGAGGGAAGGAGTAAATAAGTATTTACGTTTTAATAATTACCATGAACATTAAAAAGGCTCCAGCTGCTATGCATATCCTAACTTTCTAATAAATATTCTCCTAATACGTAAATGCTAGAGTATAGATCATTATACTGTTGTACAAGGAATAATAATTGCTGTCGTAAAATAAAATTGAGCCTCAAACACTCACAGCTTCATTTCAAAAGGAAAAAGAGGGGGAAAATTCACAGAAGGAAGGCACACAACCACACAAGAAATCAATCAGAGAAAGAATGGTGGTACCTTGGTCCTTGGTTGGTCATCGTCAAATGGTTGTATGTGGTTATTGTTGGATGGTCGTTGGATAGTGTAGTCTCATGTGGTGATCGACCTGTTGCAGGTTCCATAGTGAGTTAAGGGCATGGTTTTCAATTTCTTAGAAGATTCAATTTTGTGATGTAAATTCAAAGCTTAGTGGGTTATTTGGGTTAGCTTTATTTGTACCTATCTATTGAATGTGTTTCTATAACATCACTAATATGTTTAGCTATACTAAAGCTGATGCTGAACTATGAGCTTTGAAGTTCAGTTATTGGGCTTATGGGAAATTTAGAAGTTATTTCTAAAAAGTAAGTCCTTCCATTTAGGGTTGATACACATGTCCTCAATACTCAAGACCTTCATGATTATCAATGGGCTGCTGCAACAGATCTAGTAGACCTTGAGTCAGGTTTTTACTCCTCTCTCCTGACAATACTCTTTGGTTCTGCCTTGTTGAAGCCTCTAGTGGAAGAACTTTCAATTTCCTTGGATTACCGTTCTGTGGATGGTTTAGGATGTACGAACAGATTTTTGATCCTAAAGGGTCGAGTTTCTTATGTGCTTAATCGATAGCTGAGTAGTATGTTTGGTTTTTTGCTACCTTTCCCTGGTTTCCTACTTCTATGTGAATCAAGTAGACCCTAGAATATTCTGTTATAAAGCATTCTCTAAAGTTGGTTACAGTCGCTTGTTTTGCTGAGGCTTATGCTATTTAGCTGTCCGCTGACTATTGCTTGGGTGTTTCTTCAAATCAAGCAGCTTTGAGTTAAAAACAAGTTTAAGAATTTAGAACCTTTGAATGATGGATGCTAAGAGACAAGATCTCAACCTAAATTATTAATTGTGCAATATTGTATAAGAATTTTATTTCTGCCCCCTTGGAATTCTGGACCGCTGTGATCTCAAAGACCAGAGTTGATTATTTACATTTCACTGGGAAGTTGGAAGATACTTTTGCCTAAAACTGTTTAACATGAGCATCAATATCTTGGTTTATTGATTATATTAATTGACCATATAGATACAATCATATTTTGCTTGAATTGATTTTTTGTAATGACTAACTTATCGAATATATATAGGTGAGAGGTTCTCTGAAATTGTCGGAAGCCCATATTACATGGCTCCAGAGGTGCTTAAGCGTAACTATGGACCAGAGATTGATATATGGAGCGCAGGGGTCATTCTTTACATATTATTATGTGGCGTGCCTCCATTTTGGGCAGGTAATTTGTTTTTTCCTAGAGGATTGATGAGTTGTTAGATGTTTGAAGTGTTTATAAGTATTGTATCATTTTTAGTCTATTGTTTTGGGTACGTATGGACGGGTTAAGTGTTTGCCTATGCGCTAAACTTTTTTTTCCATTAAATTCCCATTTGCTAATTGCTATTCTTTTTGGCCTTCCTTTTCAAGGTCATGTGAGATGTGGAACCAAAAGTATCCATCTGCATACAATTTATTATTGGTGTCCAATACCGCAAATATGTTACATTGTTCACCAAAATGTATTAAAACATTCAAGTAAAAGAACTCTGCTTAAAGTGGGTTTTCTAATGCAGAGTCGGAACAAGGGGTTGCACAAGCCATTCTTCGTGGGCTAATAGATTTCAAACGTGAACCATGGCCTAGTGTTTCTGAAGGTGCCAAGAGTCTTGTACGTCAAATGTTGGAGCCAGATCCAAAGCTACGCCTTACAGCTAAACAAGTGCTTGGTATGCTTATTGTTCAAATATAAATGCATGATTTATATCATGGTACATATCTCATTTTTGAGAATATATTCTTTTATTAATCCACTTCCCACCCATCAAGCAATGATCCTGCTTGAGTGCTTGGGAACCTGTGAATAGACGTACTGCATGTTGCTCGATTGGTTTATGCCACTTGAAAAAGTGTAATTTTTTTGCACAAATCGACACAATTGATGTTTTCCCAGATCAACTTGAGGCTTCGGGCCTTTGAGAATATACAGGACTTGAGCTTGCATTCTTGTAGTTCATCATCTTGGCTTCCTTTAGTTCTTACCTCAACCTAGCTATATCCTCTGCTTTCATTATTGCAGCTTCAACATCCCCCACCATCCTCTTGGCTTCTTCTAGATCTTTATCTACCTACCAATATCATTATCTGCGTTCTTTCTTGCAGCTTCAGCATTCTCTTCGGCCATCGACCGAGCAGCCTGCTCTACCTACAATTGCTGTTCAAACTTCAACTTTATATCCATGAGCATGAACTCAATCTGCAGACCAATAATATGTCATGTGCCAAATCTTCATTTATAATACGCATAAACTATTTCAAATATGTGATTATTATTAACATCACTTGACTTTAATACTAAATAAAGACGCAGAAGCATTCAAATTAGGGATCATCAATTAACTTCAATGAAAGAATCAACTAACAGTAGCAGCATATTAACCGCTAACTTCCATTTGACTTCAATAGCATCCCTCACAGGTCGTAGAATAGCATTAGGATAATGCAGTCTGAGTAATGACTGCAGCCTTCCTTCGCTGTGTAAGACCATAAAAATAGTGTACTGGCCACTTTAGTATTTAATATTCTATTGTCAAATTCATTATTGATGCAATGATGCAAGAGGACTTATTACTGATGGTGCTTGATTTGGGCTCCATCATTTCCCACTGAGATCAACTCTTGGTGAGAACAACATTGACTAAGGTGTTGATATTTAGGTGCTCATTCACTGGATGTATCAGCAGCTTACACATTGATCTTGCATCAATTTTAGCTGATTGTTTGAGCTAGCACCTTTGAGTAGCTTATCCTTCCACTCTGTTGACGCTTGTGTCTTAATATCAACCTTTTTTGCATCTCATATCTATTGTCAGTAACATCTTATGCAAACCAAATTCAATTCCTGAAGAAGGGTTAGGATGTTTGATTTAGTTCATTGGGGATTTTCACTTTTGAGGGGGTAGTTTGAAATACTTCAATTTTATTAATATAATATATGTTTTTACATTGAAAAGAATATAACTATAAATGGTATGATTTGGTTAACCACAATTTCTAGAATATCGAACCAAAATAGAACCATGTTGCACAGTTTACCTTTTTCATCGGTTACGTTCAGTTCGGTTCATGGTTTCTGGTTTTCTAGAAAACCCCTTGTGCAATTGGTGCACTTGTCAAGCCATTAATTCCTGATGTGGAAAATTCTTAATGGATCATCTTCTTTTGTTAAAAGTTTGGATGAGGAGAGTGCATTGGTATTTTTGCCATTTCCTTGTTCTTTACGAAGTGTATAGATTATATTAGGACTAATTGCACCTGTGTTAAATCTGGTCAAACCTTATCTCAATGATTGTTTTGTACAAACAAGTGTCGTCTTGCTGGTGCTCGCAGAGGCTTATGTTGCAGAGATCGTACACTCTGAACTAGTGTTAAATCATATTCTTCTTCATTTTGTGCCATCCAGATTTTGGCCCAGATATTCTCCTCTCTGATTCTGTTCATGCTTATGTGATCAGGCTTCCTCTTTCCTAATTGCATATCCTCTCAACTAATCTTATGGAACGTGTTAGGCATAAATTAGTTAGTAGAAGGTAGTTTTGGTACTTCTACAAACTAGTTAGTCTATAAAGAGGCTGCTTTAACCACAAGGGTGGTGCCTACTTGGTTTGAGCTTGACTCCAAAGGTCAAAAGTACCAGGAGGTCCCAGGTTCAAATCCAAGGAGGAATAAAAATCCCTTTGTGGCCACGGAGGTTCAAAGGCGGTGACTCTGGGCTATCTGCAAAGCAGGTGGTCGCCCTGAGATTAGTTGGCTCGCATAGCGGGTTGGATATCCAGATTAATCAATAAAAAAAAGAGGCTGTTGAGGAATGCAACTGTCATTTTCATTTTTCGCGGACAAAGCGAGTTAATGTATTATCGTTTTGTTCACCTTTTGTTAGGATGTTTGTTTGCAATTGAATTTTCTCTGAATTCTATCAGATTTATCAGGTTCTCTTTTTTGTTGTCGATTTTCTATAAAAGATTTTTTTTGCATTACCAACATGTTGGCTATTGGGTGGCCCAAAAGTTGGCCCTCAAGTATTCTTGCAAGTTGCAATCTCAACAGATCTCTTTGAGATTCAAATTGGTAGAATTTGATTTTTTCCCGATAAAATATATAGTGGCGCTCTTTGTTGCCCTATAAACCTTATGGTTCAACTTCAGTGGAGTTATGTGTTCAGAAAGTAAGAAAGTATCCATCAAAATTTTATACTCACAAGTCCATAGGTATCTTTTTGGCATATATAGGATAACTGCTGATGCTGTCTGTTTCATTTGTGTAAACCACATTTAAATTTTTTTCTGCAAATATTACTAGATCAAAAATGTGATTCATAGAGACCGCATGAGTATGGCTACTTTTTATATTAGTTTGTCTGATTGAATATTTTTTATGTGCTTACAGAACATACTTGGCTCCAAAATGCTAAAAAGGCTCCAAATGTTCCTCTTGGTGATGTTGTCAAGGCAAGACTAAAGCAGTTCTCATTGATGAATCGGTTCAAGAGAAAGGCTTTGAGGGTTGGTTAACTGGCTTTATACTTGTTTTCTTTCTAAAAGATGCTAGATACACATATATTGATTATTAATCAACCAGTATCTGTGATGGCTCCATCTGCTAGGTTATTGCTGATTTCTTGTCCAATGAAGAAGTTGAGGACATTAAGGAAACGTTCAAAAAGATCGACACTGATGATGATGGTATTGTTACACTTGAAGAACTAAAAGCCGGACTACAAAAGTTGAATACACAGCTTGCAGAGTCTGAAGTTCAGCTGCTTATTGAAGCTGTAAGTGTGACTTCTTTCCTAATCTTCATCTATTTTTCTGGTTAATTTCTGTCTGTATAATTACTCTGCTTTACAATCTGATCACAAGAGAACATTGCATATTGGGTGCTCTTGCTGTATTCATGTACTGCTGTTCAATGCAATTTATTGGTGAAACTTCTTTTCTAGTAATGCAATCAACCTACAAACATCACTACTTCACAAACAAAATACCTTTTTAAGCTCTTTCTTTTTTTCTATATTTTTTTAAATCTTAACTAAGAACTCGTTGAAGAGCTTCTTGATGATATGCTGTGGCTAAATTCCTAATGTTAAATATTGAGGCTTGATAACATATGACATTTGATTATACACGAGACTTCCATTGATTGTGGATGCATGATGTCTCTACTAGCTCAAGTCAAAATGCAAATTTGTGCTTCTAAAGTTCAAATTATTTTTATATTGTTAAAAGAGCCCATGAGGCGTGCCTTGGCTCTGAGGCTCATAAGACTCGAGATCTTGGACTTTTTTTAAAGTCAAGGCTCTGTGTGAATACAAGGCTCACTAAGGAGATATGGTTTGGCTGAGTGTGCGACTGTTATTAAATACCTAGTCAAACCCTAATATTAAATAAGTTTTCTCTTCTTCTCATCTCCTAGATTTCTTAGGGGGTGTTTGGTTGGAGGTATTAAGTAGTAATTAATGTGAATGAGAATAAAAGAAACTATTTGGTTCTATTTCTATATAATATAATGAGCTCATTCCCCCAGAAGCTCAACTTTTCATTCCAGATTAAACTGGGGAGAATGAAAATTCATTCCCATTTTCATACCCTGTCATTTTCATTTCCTCGCCTGAACCAAACGCTCCCTTAAAGAAAGAGTTACTGAATTGATGATATAAGTCAACCCCCAGAACCAAACGCTCCCTTAACTAAATCCTCAGAACTTCAAGCCTTCTCCTCTATAAATGCCCAGACCTTAAAACTTCTCCTTCACGGCTCATGCTTTAAACCCTTCTTCATTCTGCCTCTATCGAAGTACTGTTGGTTGATGCATTGGAGGCGTGTACTTGCTGCATATTTGAGTTGTGTGTAACTGTGTGTGTGCGTATCTATATTTTGATAAGATGCAACTCGCAATCCTGAGGCCCGCACCTAGTTTGCGGGACCCCTTTACGCCTAAGAAACGGAAAGGACCATGTTCATTAAGAAGATTAAAAACCATTGTTTGCTTGGAATCTTTTTGTTTTATTGTTCCTTTAACTTAATCTGATAGCATCTATTGCTTACAGGTAGACACTAATGGGAAAGGTACCCTGGATTACGGGGAATTTGTTGCCATTTCACTTCACCTCAAAAAGATGGCAAATGATGAGCATCTACATAAGGCCTTTTCATACTTTGATAAAGATAGTAACGGTTATATAGAGCCTGAGGAGCTTCAGAATGCCCTCATGGAAGACGGAGATGCCGATGGTGCAAATGTTGCTAACGATATCTTCCAAGAAGTCGACACAGATAAGGTTGAACCTAACTTCATAAGCATTTGTCCACACCCAAATTCTTACCAAACCAAACCGAACCAGGCCAATATATCCCACCTGGAGGCGGTTATAAAAATCTGCTGTCCCCAAATTTCCTGTCAACATGGAGCAGACCGGAAATTTGGGGACAACATATTTTTATTTGTTGGAGAGGTGGGGTGGGGGTGAAAAGTGTGTAGTAGAGAGTGAAACAGATATCAAAACGTTGGGTCTCAGTTGTATTTTCATTTTCATGATTTAGGATGGCAAAATTAGCTACGAGGAGTTTGCTGCGATGATGAAAACGGGAACCGACTGGAGAAAGGCTTCTCGACACTACTCGAGAGGAAGATTTAACAGCCTGAGCGTGAAGCTGATGAAAGACGGTTCTCTGAACTTGGGGAGTAGCGAGTAAGGTTTGTTTCCCTCGCCGGGAATTTCTTTTGTTATTATGGGTTTATGTTTGGTTAGATTCCATTATTTCCTCTTCTTCAACATGTTCTAAGTTTGTGTTACCCATATTGATTCTGGCCTTTCTACTACTTGCTTCCATGTTTCCATACCTTTTGCCTGTTTACTACATGAAATCCTTAAAAGATCTTTTAGGGCTTCAGTACATTCTAGGACTGGTTGCTTGGTTTTCTATTAATATCTGTATGGATAAAGCTGTTTGTGTGGATTAATGTCTGTATAGATTGGGAAGATTTTTATTTGGGGTGAGGTTTTTCATAGATGGAAGGAGCTTGTTTTTAATTGGGAGGGCCGAAGAGGCAGGTTTTAACAAAACTTGGCTTTTGGCATAAAACTTCTTCTAGAAGCTTACTAAATAAGCAAGTTTCTATATCATTAAGTCAATACTAAACAATTATGTGTAGCTGACTAAACAAGCTGAAACTTCTATTAAGCTCATTAAGATCATTAAGCTGTTAACAAACATGCCCGAAGTATTTGGTCTGCATTTTGTACAAGTGTTGTTTCTTTTTTCTTTATTGGAAAGACTATTTGTGCATCCACGAAGTTTGTTTTATTTTTATTTAGTGTAATTGACAAAGGAATTTTTATTCAAATCATTGTAACAAGTATTCAGAACTTACTATTTTTTTTATCCATTTTGACTATAACCTGCTAATCATATAACATTTGACGTGGATGTCAAGTTTATTCACTGTCAACATTTTGTAATTGGGATATTCACTTCATCAAACATTACAAAAAACAGTAGGTTACCAGTCAAAATGAGTACAAAACAAGAACTTTTTCAAAAAACCATATTACACTAGGTAGGAATTAAATCAAACATTTTTTCAACAACCATTAGACAAAGATAAATCTTTTTTTTTTTCAAGAGCTAGAATAGGCAAATACAGAGGAAATAATATAGAAAATCTGTTGAAGTAAAATAGAAACCGTTTTCTTTATTTTATAGAATTTGTTGGAGATGCTTTTAACGATACAAGGGTTGGATTTGATTATTTTAGCTCTGGATTGAACTTTTGAAGAAGCAAGAGTAGGATCTAAGTTTTGTATATCAGATGTGAACAAATAAATAGTGGTTATTTTATGATTATGATTATGTGTTTTTGGAAACGCATTAATCGGCCTTGGATTTGGTCGTTGATGTTCGTCCTTTAAAACCATCCACAATGATGATATGCACAATTCAATTGAAAATTTCGGTTGATTTGACATTGGGTAATTAAACGATATTCTGATTAATCGAATGTAGAATTGATAGAAGAATCGTAGTTAAACTAATTAAGAACATAAGTATGGATCAAGGAAGTCATCTATCATTTATGAATCAAAAGTTACCAGCTTGAGAAGTTTATAATTCTACACAGAGAATTTATGTTACTCAATCGTTAATGATTCTAACTGATGAATCTACTATTTATACACAGTTGCTAAAGATCTAATACAATTGCAAAAGTGATTTCATTTATTATTTATATATAAATATGAGAGTTAAAACAGACCAAAACCATATATTGCCACATGTTTCAATATCCTCTTCTGAATTGATCTTCTCAGCTTGCAAGACAAGGGATCTTATTTGAATAGGAATTTCTTCTGGTTCTTCAATATACACCGAGTATTAATTGCTAACCACACTTAAGTTTAGTCTAACTAAATCTCTGATCTTTCAAATCTAGAGTTCTGACTTGCCTAGTCCAGAAGAACTTTGACTTGTCTTTAACACTCAAATCTTTCTTGAACTTGTTTTCTTTGATCCAACTTCAGTATAAGTTTGATTTAACACCAGTTTTTATTGAAAATTTATTTTCTCTCATCCAACTTCAACTCATTGTTTTTATCGTTTATTAGTGATTTAATTCAATCAAAAATATTTTTTTTAATGTTTTATTTCCTATATTAATTTTATTTATTTTTTTACCATAAAAACTATATAAAAAGTTACTTCATTTTCTAGAAATAAAAACTATTGTATGAATTGAAAAATAATGATTTTATTATATTTTTTATAAAAAAATGAACTTGGTAATTTCAATTTTTAAAAACTCTAAAACAAACCAATTACCTTTTGACACCTAGCGTTGAAAAAGAAAAAAAAAGTGGCAATATGATTTAAGGAGTGATCAAATTGTTGGTTACAAAAATTAGCTTATAAACATGTAAAATGATTAAAAAGAACATCTTAAAAAATTAATCAATTATAATATTTTGTAATATGATTAAAATAAAATATCTAATAATATAATACGTTAATTAATACAAAAAAGATGATAAAAATAAATAATATAATATGTTGACGGAAAGAATTTCAAATTGTATATTAAATTTTTTGGATTTGTTAAACGAATTTTAGAAAAAATTAAACGAATTTTAGAAAAAAATCTATTAATTTATTATTTTAGATAACCATTAGATATATTTTGAATAAATGTAAAAGTGTCAACCTCACTTATTCTAATTAATTCATAATTCTTTAAAATATATAATTAATAATTAAAGTTAATATTTTGTTAGAATCATTTAACACCTTCTCATCATCTAATAAAATAAAATAAGTAATTTTATGTGACTTATATAATATTTTTAAATTTCTTATTTACTTTTTGATTACTAAAAATATTGAATAATACTTATAAAAATAATTGATATGATTAATATTATTATAAATAATTAATATTAATGTATACTATATAATGTACAATTAATAATTAATATTAATTAATAGCTAATATTTATTAATATAGTAATAAATATTTTTATTTAATATATATATTAATAATTAGTATTAATTTATATTTATTTATTATTAATAGTAATAAATAATAATTAATATTAATGAAAGTTATAATTGAAAAGAAGTCACAATAAGCTCCCAAAACGCTATTCATGTAGCGTTTCAATAAGCTAACTTATGATCATCCAAACGTGTACCTAAAAAGTAAGCTAACTTATTTTTGCCAAAAAATATCATAGTCTGATGCCTACTATTCTTTCAGTTGATATGTAGTGGCATAGACAAAAGATAGTACTTCATTCGTTCTAAAATAAATGTCAATAATGAAAAGAGACACATAATTTAGTAGAATCGAAAGAGAGTTTATCTATCTCATAATCAATAGTAGAATCGAAAAATAGACACATTTTTAGAAATTGACATTTTATTTTGGAACAAACTAAAATACTAATGTATACACTTATTTTCGGACAGAGAAAGTACTTCAAGATTTTATACATTAGAAATTACCGGAGTTCAATCATCGGGTTGTTGCCAAGAGAAGAACTTAGCTCTTGTTAAACCTCTACCTAAAGATGGACAAATGTAGCCGGTACTGGTCCAAGTTAACCAAACCAGGACCAGCAGTAACTTGTTAAAGAAGGATTGCTTTAGACTGGTTTGGCTCAAGCGGTTAACAAATTTTTTTTGAAATCATGGTTACATCAGTATTTTTGGACTGGTTGAGGGACATGTCCAAGGGACTGAAAAGATCATTTTTGAAATTATCAAATTGACTGAATTAGCCAACCTTCTTACCTTATTCACTTTATAGCCACTTTTTTATGGTAAATTCTTGAATGGTCGGATTTTGGGAAATGAATTTACGCATTTGTGTGAAAATCGATAATGCTTAAACTGGTAATGCTGATTTTTTTCATTTTTCATTTTTTATTTATTAAAAAAAGAGGTTTACGCAAATACATAAATCCATTTGCGTAAAATCCGCCTATTCAAGAAATTACATTGAAAATGTAGCTATATTGTAAACAAGGGCTGGGAAATTAGCTATTTCCTTCTTTTAATTACTCGAGTTACATCTCCTAAATTACTAAAATGCCATTATGGTTTTATATAAATAGGAGATTACACACATAGACCAAATATGGGTGGAAAGTGTAAATCACATAGATCAAACATGTAATTTACTCGATAAAGCAAGACAACCAATTATCAAGTTGCTAAATTTCAATCTACTATCCTAAGGAGCTCAGGTCATAGTAAAAAAGAATTGACAATAAACTCGAAAAAACATCACGTAAAGCATCCTCCAGAATTACATAAACTTTCAGCTGAAATTTCACATTCGAAATGGAAAGAAAAACGTAGAGTGACATGGGAAATTTTTATGCTTTTATGAAGTAGTTTAGGGACGTTCCAATTTTTTTTTGGAGGCCATGCTACATCCAAATCTTTTGATTACATTACATAAATGAGATAACAGAGATATATGTTAAACACAAAAATGAGCTAAATCTAAACGATTAATAATTTGAACCTAAACTCAAATAATTAATAGTTTGAATTTGAACAATTTCAGTTCTAGTTTTACACAAGTCAATGAAATACCCTAAACACATAAAATTGGACCCCAAAATTTTAATCTCACATTTAACATGCTAGGAGACGGATTATGGTTTTCCCAATAACAATTTCTATCTTGAACTTTGGTTTGCCAACATCAGCAGGAGCCATGGATATCATTCAAACATCTCCTCCTAAATGTGCCAACTACATATGCATAAAAGGTTACTATGGTAAACCTTTGACAGTAGAAAAACTGCAAAAATTATCCTATTTTACAGTATGAATCTTATTTCTTTATCATGATTTGATCAACTTTAAGTTAGTTTTTTCAATTGACCATGATACAAGACTTTTGTTAGGAATCCAAGGGCTTCCATCTTAAAACATTTGGCAACAGGGGGAAGCCATTCTTGAATCATATATATCACTGGATTGAATCAGTCTTTCTGTTACTAATGGTCGTCATATCATGACTATATTTCACCCCTAAAGTGTACAAGTACAGAAAAAGCCAGGTTCGGAGTAATTGAGTTATTAATGATACGTACGCCTAAAACAAACGTCCCTGAAGATTTTGTCCACAAACTTCTGTAAAATGATAAATCACAAGAATTACATTAATACCATTATATATCAACCTCTTAACTCAATGTAAAAAGTGCCATAATCAACAGTAATAACAAGCCAACAGAAAAAATTTCTAACCTTAAGTTAAAAACTTCAAGTGAAAGAAGACAAAACTGAGCAAAAACACATACCATTAGGTAAATCCAGTGTTCAAAAAAGCGCGTCATGACGCACGATGTCACAAGAAGCGTTTTCACCGTTACGAAAAGGCCCATAGCATTTTTGTAAGACGTGGCTCACGCCATATCATTTTAGAGCGTCCCACGGCTTGGGTTTTTATATGACGTGACATTTTTACAAAAAAAAATATTTTTCAGTTTTGTTTTTTTAACTTTTGTGTTTTGACACTTTTAAGTTTAGATTTTACACTTTTATAAACGTATCTAATCACATTACTCATATTTTTACAAATTCATAAACGTCATAGGCTTACGATTAAAGCGAAGTTGTAAAATACCTTTCTAAGTTATATTTTGAATATTTAATCAAATACTATTTTTATAATAATAATAATCCATATGGTTTTTCTTCAATGTAATTTTTTAATACCACTGTCCAATTAAATAATATATAAAAAACATATATGTATATATATAAATCTATATATGACATACAAAATCTGCCGCCTTAAAAAACACCCTCGTCCTCGCTGTGGCATGTAAGGGAAAGAATTTATTGTCAACCTCTTTCAGATATGAATCTATCTGATTCAGTAAAGAGAACTTGTATCAATATCTCAATTAGGCCAAGCAGCTAGGAAGAAATGTAAAGAACGAGAAGAATGTTAACTATACAGTTTAACAATATCCTTGCTTAAATGAAGTAAAGGCTCCGGCGAGATTTAAGTGTCGTTTACCAAACACTTACCCGGGTAAGTGCTTACCACGTCACTTTACTTTACTGGATGAATATGACAATGACTAAAAATCTTACCGGGTAAGAGTGAATGCAAGAATCGAGAGCCTTACTCGGTAAATAAGAACGGAGACTCTTACCATGGTTAGCGCTTACCAAGATAAATTGCTGCATTCGATGCGTTTTAGTGAATATAATCTTACTTGGTAAGTAAGCGATAATGTTGAATTTTACCGATAAGTGCTTACCAGGTAAGTGTTTACGTAAACGACCCCTTAATCTCACCGTAATACCATGCCTCAAGCCATTTTGATTTTTGAACCTTGGATAAATTGCAATAGAAAAAGGCTAAAGATCGGAACGAAGAAAAAATGACATAAAACAAATTATTAACAGGGACCAAAATTGCAATTTACTCTAGTTATGGGCCACATTGCAAATTTAAGAAAATTAGGAGGGCAAATATGAAAGAATAGATGAAGTCTGTTTCAATTGGATGTGTGCTAGGAGTTGGAAGAGTAGCCTCTCATTTTGTTGGTCTCTGTTTCTAGGGTATTTGCAATTTGTGAAGAGAATCGAGAGTTTTGGAAATGCCGTGCCTCAATCTGTCAACAAATGTCAACTTAGAGGGTGTTGATACCTCTTCGATCCTCTCCGAAGCCACCTCCACCGTCGCCAAACTCATCGGAAAACCCGAAGCAGTATGATTTCTCTCTTTCTCTATGTCTGTGTGTTTTCTGTGCTTTGTTTAAATCTGAATGTTCTTCGATGTTATAGCTCTTAAATTATGTAAGGCGTAGAACCCCCTCTTTTAGTAGTCACCTTTTTCCTTGCTTAAATGAGAATTTGAGGTCTTAGGGTTTATCAGTGAATTTCATGTTCCATTGGGTAGAGTTAGATTGGTGTGTTGATTTGAGTCTTGTGGCTTCAGGTATATTTTGTTAATGTTACTAATTTATAGTAATATTGTCGGAATTTTGTGCTTTGCTCTTTTGAAATTCCTTTGTGTAGAACAGCGATTCAAGGTGTTTTCTAATAAGCTAAACGGAGTGTTATGGAAGTGCTGTGTAGGTTTTGCCACTTTCGTGAAGATGCTCCCATGTGTTAGAATAGAGACACTCCTATATTCAAGGTTTTTTTTAATGAGACGGAGTGTCGGATTGACACTCCCATATGTCTCGATTTATCTAAAACAAAGAACAAAAAGTCAAAATCTCTGAAAATTTTAAGTTCAGATTCTCTATTTTAGTATTTCAACATTCATTGTAATATTAAAATATTCTATAAATTTATAATCCTGTTACACTTTTTAAAAAAGAACTTATATAAAATAATAATAATTCAATTTTATTGGTGGGAATGAATATAAAATTAATTTCACTCTTCACACATCAACTTTTAGAAAATTCTCTAAACATGGAGCTTTCTCTATTTTAGAAAACAAGTAGTCCTAGCCGTAAACGATGGATACTAGGCGCTGTGCATATTGACCCGTGCCAGCTGCAACAGGAGCTGAATATGCAACAGCAATCCAAGGTCGCATACCCAGACGGAAGCTAAGTTCCCACTCACGACCCATGTAACAAACTACACCACTGTTGGAGCAAAATAGAGAATAAAAACCCCATTTTCTCTCTTTTAGAGAGTCTGTATAGTACAAAAAACTTGTTATCCCAAGTCTATGGGACGAGGGGACAAAAAAATGCCCCGCCAAAAGAGTTGGAACAAAATTGTAGCACAAGATTGGTAAATTACTAAACTACCTGTAACAAATTAAAACCCTAAAATATTCCACAATTCCATCACCCTCCTGTCCCGTCCCTTCCACATACCCGATACCCACACACCCTATTTTGTAATGAGTGTACCAAGAGGCCATTTGGTATCAAGTTAGCTCTACAACATTTTAGGTTGTGAGTTCTTATCTTTTCAAGAGACATCGTGAATGAGTTCATTTTTCAAGTAATGTAGAGGTGATAGTGTTTTCCCAATCGATTTTAAAGAGCAAGATAAATTATGGATATTTTAGTCACATGAGTAAAGATACACGATAAGTTACAACGGGAAGAACATGTTGACTTTGAGTTATGTTTACTATCAGGGTCATTTCTTAGCACGTTAAATGTGGGATTTTAATTAAGACCCCAAAATTTTGGGGCCCAACTTTACATGTGCTTAGGGCCGTTCATCAACATGTGTGAAGCATTATCTGTAGCCTTAGGTACAGATTATTAGATTGTTAGTTGTTTAGGTTTAGGCCTTTTCTACACTCAACGTTAATAGACCTCCAAACAGATTGGGACGTCCTTGTTTACTATGAAACCTTTGAATATAAATAAATCATAATTTATAGGCACTTCACCAAAACATGGTTGTTTAATGAAATTTTCACTGATGATATGCAATGATGTGATGATTTGATGGTATAAGTTGATAACATATGTGGATATAACTACTAACTACTTGTCCTATAATCACAAAAGTTTGTAGTATGTACTGTTGTATTCTTTATTCTATTAGAGTACAGAAAACTCGTCAAGTGCTATTGCTGGCTCCTTCATCTATGAAAAAACCTTCTCATCTCTCTGTCTCTCTCTCTCTCTCTCTCTCTCTCTGTATATATATTTATATTATGTATATAATTCAGCAACTCCATTAACTGAAGACAGTTTAATGACATTTTTGTTAATCCAGTGATGTTATGCCTTGACCTGCTTGTGTAAATCTTAATTACTGTAGCAATTTACACAATAAATAATCCAATAGTTGTGTTCACATGTATGCAGGATTGATGGTTGTCAATGATATTTCTTCTTCAACAAACATAAATTTTGTGGTTTCTAGTTACTTTTTTCTATTTCCAAAAGATTGCCAGAGATTTTATGTTAAAGATATATTTTGTCTCCAATGATTTCAACTACATGTTTTATGCCTTATTTTACAACTTATGATACCCTTTTTAATAATTGTTGTATCTGACCTTTAGCTGAGGAGCTGTTTGGTTGGTTTTCTATTAAGTTTGTATGGATAAAGATGTCTGTGGATTAATCTGTCTGTATAAATCGGGAGAGTTTTTCCATAGATGGAAGGAGCGTGTTTTTAATTGGGAGGGGCAAGTTTGAGAAAAACTTGGCTTTCTGCATAAAGCTCTCCCCTAGAAGCTTATTGAATAAGCCACTTTCTATATCATCAAGCCACTACCAAACAATCATGTATAGTTGACCGAATAAGCTGCAAGTTCCATTAAGCTGCTAACAAGTAGGCCCTATGGGGCTGTTTACTGAACACATACCATCTCTTATCGTGTAACTAAACACTTGCTGCTTCTTACCGGGTAAGAGATGATGGTCTTTACCTACAATCTTGATTGTACTGTTTCATTTTGCTAACAGAGAATCTCACCCGGTAAGTGGGGGTAATTAGTGCTTACCAATCTTATTGGTAAACGGCTGCTTAGTTTTTCTAACATTCCATTCTTAATGAAATGAAGTCCTTAATCACCTCATTTCGGATTGGTAATGAAGAGAGCATCTGTGTTGTTTCACATATAAGCTTTCTTCACAGCATTCTTTGGATTATGGATTGAACACAATGAGAGATCATAATTTGGCCTGTGATCTGATGCAACCATGAAGCTGCTGAAGTTCTAATAGTTACGGCCCAAGTATTCTCTGCTATGTGAAGTTCCATTGGGGTGTTTGTTACACAGACTGGACAGAACGGGACTGAGATAGGCGGATGAAAGAGTTGTGGAAAGTTTTTGGGTTTTAATTTGATATTAGTAGTTTAGTAATCTACCAATTTCGTTGGATCTCCTTAATTTTTGTTCCACCTATTTTGGTTACACAAAGAAATACATTTTTCGTCCCACTATGTCGTACCAAACCTGGGACAAGAAGTTTTATTCTATCATGTCCCACATACCAAACGCACCCTTGCAGTTGGAAAACAACTTTTTCCTAATTTTTTGAAATCTGAGAGCATCTCTAACAGATTCTCTGATACAGAGAAAACGGGTTTTGATTCTCTATTTTGCTCCAACAGATTCTCTATATCTCTTAAATAGAGAAAACTTAACTTTTAGAGAATCATCTAAAGCTGATTGTAATTTGTTATTTACATATCTATCCATTCAAAATATCCATTTATTCACTGCTGTGGTTATATTGTCACTTTTCTTCTCCATTTATTAGGGGTTATTTTGGTTTGGGTAGAGGAATGAAAATGAGAATAAATGAAAATGACAAGAAATGAGAATGAATTTTCATCTCCCTTGTTTAACCTGAAATGAAAATTTGGGCTTTTGGGGGGTATGAGCCCATTATATTATAAAAAACCCAAAGTTTTTTTTTATATTCAATCTCCCGTTAAGCGTTGACTGCTTAATACCTCTAACTAAAAAACTTGCAACTATGTTGCACAGTATGTGATGATTGTGTTGAAGGGATCTGTACCCATGGCTTTTGGAGGTACCGAGCAGCCAGCAGCGTATGGTGAGCTAGTGTCTATCGGGGGGCTGAATGCTGAAGTAAACAAGAAGCTGAGCGCTGCAGTTGCCGACATTCTTAGCACCAAGTTGTCTGTTCCCAAGTCACGATTCTTCCTCAAGTTTTTTGATGCAAAGGCAAGCTTTTCTTACCTCCTAGGTGTTATTGGGTCAATTTATAAGGTTTTCAATATTATTCAACTAATGGATAACATAATCAAATAAGTTTGCTCTATTTGGTTCCATTATCAGGTAAACTGAATAACGAGGGTTTTTAAATTTTAAGATAACTTATAATATTATATATCTATGTAAGGTTGGGTTCACGTGAGACTTTTCGTGAGACCTGTAAGACCACTTTTTTACACTTGAAACTTCACAGCAAAACCCTGTGAAGGTAAAAAAGCCGAACCTTCACACGTTTTGCTGTGAAGTTTCAAGTGTAAAAAAGTGCTCTCATGGGTATCACGAAAACAGACTGGTCTCACATGATCCCAAAGTGTGTCTATATATATATATAATTAATATTTTAAATATAGACTGGAAATTTGGAACTGAGGAGGCAGGAAAAAGTCCGAATATAATAAAAATATTTTCTTAAAATTTAAGATAATTTATAAATAAATAATAATATAAGTCCTTAGATAAGTTGTTAAAAGCGCTACTGAAGCGTGCCTAGGCTCTGAGGCCCAAGGACCTAAAAGTCTTGTGCTTTTTTGAAGTTTGAAGTTAGAGGCTTGGCCTATTCATGAGACTCATCTTGTGGGCCTAGGCGCGCCTCATTAAGAGTTATTAAATACCTAATCAAACCCTAATATTAAATAAGTACTAGAAGAGTACTCGCGCAATGAAGCGAGACACATCTCGATTTTAATATTCTATTTTATTATTTGTCTCTGTCGATGTTATATTACTATTTTATGTGTTTTTAAGAAAGCAATAATGATTTTATTTTTGAATAAAATATAAATTTGAAGATATCATAAAAATTTGAAAAACAATATATTAATGTTAATATCAAAATCAACTATTTAAAAGTTCTCATTTTTATGTATTTTCTTTAATTTATTTTTTTATTATATTTTAATTTAAGTTTAATAACGTAATAATTTATTTTTGGTTTAATAATATAAYATTTTATAAAGATAATAATTAAGTATTCTGTTAGAACTAAATGATTATCTTAATTATATTTTAGATTTTTTATATTTAAATTGAGATGTTTATCCTGTATTTGAATAGGTTTATATGCATTTAGTTACACGAATTCAGATATGGAGCTTTAATAAGTTGTACTTAGGCACAATCTACTTGCAATATTGAGTTTTAAGTAACATGCATTAATAAACAGTACTTTACGTATAAAAAGTGGTTTTTAAGAGTTTTTGTCAAATGCTTTATAATATAGTATAGATTCTCATCTCATAGACTTCTTACAAAAGAGTTAATAAATGACGTAAGTCAAACCCTAATATTAAATACATGGTCCTTAGAACTTCAAGCCTCCTTCTCTATCATTACCCATACCTTACAACAACTCCTTCAGTCCTTCACGGCTCACGGTTTAAACCTTCTCTCTTTTGCCTCTATCAAAGTGTTGTTGGTTGTTGAATTGGACGCCTGTACTTGCTGCATATTTGAGTTGTGTGTACTTGTGTGTGTATATATAATATAATTATGAGATGCGCCTCGCATTTCTAAGGCCCACTCATGCTTATGCCTCGTGCCTAGGCCCCGGGACTTCTTTGGGCCTAAGTGTGCCTTAAGGCTTTAACAACTTTGATTCCCTACTATTGGGTTTTATCAAAAACCATACAGAAGTAACAGAAAACTGAACAGAGAAAACCGAATAAAGAGTTATAAATGAACTAAAAATCCCGAAGTGTTTTATCTAAAATTCATTCGGTTCAGACGCGTTATTCGTTTTGCGTAGTGGATCGTTTTCTCCTTTTTATGTGTTCTCATTGAATTTTGCTGTGTGTTTAGGCCTGTCCAAGTCAAGAATATGCACCATGTATGCATTCTTTACACCAGTCCTAGATCATGTAATTCACTTCAATCATTTTAGAATCAGCATTTTAAAATTTCTCCAGTTTGATTCTCACTATGTTCTTTAAAACCGCGCTTAGAAGACCTAAATTTTTTCCCGTGCCATCTTTAGTAGCATCTTGTATACACCGGCGGACCCAAGAGTTTTGCCGAGTTGGTGCATCTTTAAGATGGATTAAAGGCCTGCAAAGTCATCCCATGTGGTTTTAGCCGAATTCTACCGTTTCGAGGGATTTTAAAGTTTTTAGTTGATTTCGAGTTTTTTTTTTTGGTTTTTTGGTTGATGTATCTTATATTTTCTTAACATCTCAGACCACTTCTCAAAGTTTAGCGGGTGCACTTTTCATATTTCAAAGAAACATCCTACTTACGATTTATGAAAATAAGTTGAGTAGGTGCACAGTGTTTAATAGGTCCGTGTTGTATACATATACTATGGTTTTAAATAAATGAGAACCAAAAAACAATGAGTAATGGAATTTAATTCCATTACAAATCCCACTAACCAAATACATCAACGTTTCAAATCCATTCCAATCCAAATCCCTCGAAAACAATCTTGCATACCAAATGGACCCTCAGTGCTAAGAGGGTAAATGATGTTTACCAACAATCTGTTTTGACGGATGAGAATGTTACCGGTGATATTGGAACCATTTACATCTTTATTTGGTGTTCAGAATGTGAGTTTGAAAATGTGTTTGCTAACTCTGATCGTTGCTTTCACAGGGCTCTTTCTTCGGATGGAATGGGTCAACTTTTTAGACCATGTGTATGTGGTTAAGAATTGAAGCTTGAACTATGGTCTGAAACAATGGATATTAAAACATTGACAGCATGTCTAAGTATGTTTCGACGTTGATTGTGGTTCTCATCTTTCTTGTGTTCAGGTGCAACTGTTTTATTTCATCTCCCAAACCCAAATAAACTACCTATGCAAAGAATTATAATGTTATGACTCGTTAATTCCTTAATTTTTCTGAAATCCGAAATCGAACAAATTTAAATCTTTTAACTTGTTTAAACACAATTTTTTTTTATTAATGAACTTGCATAAATCCCTCCATATTTTTCGAACAAGTTATTGCTTTTGTAAAACAAAAGAAATGTATTATTTATCTCTCCATGTATCACATCACAAATCGGTAGGAGATAGGTCATTAATGTTTCCGTTAAGTTTTTGAAGGGTGCGAACGTATTGTTCTTTTAGGTCCTGTCATAGAGTTTTTTTGATGCAAGTCTGTAATGGTAAATGATTCTTTTAATTTTCAACTTAAATTTTGTAGCTTTTTATATATGTTTTAGAAATAACTTTTAGTTTTCAACTCAAACTTTGTTGGTCTTTAATATGTTTTAGAAAAAAATTATACTCTGGAGTCTGGACTCGAACATGGCCCCTTTCTATGCAATAGAACGACAAAGAACCAACCAATTTCAACTTCAAGTGGTTTGATTTTATAGTCAAATTATGCCAAGACCTAGAATCTACCTCTAATGCATGTATCTCACCCTCAAAGACCCTAATTCCAAGTGGGATACTCGTTTGATAATACCAAAACAACTATTCTACACAGTGGGTGAGATGGGAAATGAAAACTATTAGCCCCACATGAAGTTTGTGAAAAGAAGTATAAATATCTTCATATACTATGCGTTCGCTAATGAGTCCTGCATCTTCAAAATTGAAGTCAAACACAAAACCTACTTTCAAATAGGATACACGGAGTTCATTCGGTTTGATATGAGTTTGTTAACAGTGGACCTTTTACGAATCATAAATAATCTACACTTTTTCTTTTTAAAGTATATAAATACAACAAATAAACTAGCACAGTATCCCCTGCTTTTGATGAGGTATGAATCCATGACTTCACAGGAGGACGAAGACTCACCAAGTTGTAATAAATAAAAGGAGACACTGCAGCTTGCAGCATAGCTAAAACATGCCTTTTTTGACATTTGTTTGCTGTTTCTTGGCTATTTTGTATTCTAAAGTTTCCGGATAAAAAAGGGTACCACGAACAATGCAAATGGCATTTCTTAGCAGAAAGAAACTTTAGAATACAAAGATTGAAATTTGAATGGGACAATAAGGATTGAATCAATCTGAAAAGATAAATGGGTTTTTGAAATCAAATTCGTAAATGTTGAGTAACATTGAAGCAAAATACATATCTTCAGAAAGGAAATCACCAAAATTAGTAATCAAATATAAAGAAAAATATTATGAATAGATGATGACTCACTGCTGCACAATCTATTGTTTCCATTATACTACTTACCCTTTTCAATTTGACAAAGCAAAACGCACATCGGATGAAACCGAATCAGGCACGAGCGGCAGCAACAATTGGGGCGGCGGATGCGGCGGCGTTGGAGGCCGCGCCGCTAAGGAAAGAGAGGAATCCAGTGGAAGCACCAGACTCTTGTTCATCAAGGAACAGATCCTCTGGAGTCCTGAAAGCACCATGAGCAGAAACAACCGCAGTTCCAAGAAGCAAAGCGGAGATCAGTACAGATCCGACACTTGTTAGAAAGATCACGACGATGCTCGACACAAGCAACAGGCCTAGGGTTTCACGCTCCGAGAACGTACGGCCGAAGATCACCAACGGTGGATCGGAGGGGCGGAAGAGGTAGAGGAAGAGCCAGGCGGCGAGGAGACCCACGAGGATGATGAGAGAGAAAGGGTTTGTGAGGAGAGAAAACCCGAGGACAGCGGCGATGACGGTGAGATAGTTGACACGGAAGTAGGAGTAGTTCTTACGGATCCGGGCAGCCGCGTCGGTTATGGAGTCAGGTTTGGAGAATGCCGATCGGTCGACCAGTTCAGACCACGGACGGCGTTTGGAGAGGCCAGATCGGACAGTTTCGGTGATGTTGTTGATGAAAGCGCGGAAGGCAGGGGTGGCGACAGGGGCCTGAGATTCCCCGGTGGAAATGGTTTGTGGGTTTGAGATGGGGAGAACCGCCGGCGATGAGGCCATTTTTGCCGGAAATTTAGAGGGAGAATTTGGAGAGATGATTTTGCTTCCGATTTGGTTGAGAGAAAGGGTATGGCGTCGGTGGATCTGATTTCAAGAATTTGATCGTTCAACCTTTATTATATATTCTTTTAACCAAAAAAAAAGAAGATAAAAGAGTAAAATTACAATTTCAGTCCCTGTATTTTGTTAATTATTTCGATTTTTATCTGTATGGTTTAGGAAGTACGATGTTCGTTATATATTATTTTTTCGTACTTGTATTAAATCCTACCTTAAAATAGACTAAGAGGTCGTTTATCAAACGCTTACTTGGATAAGTGTTTACCAAATTATATTACTTTACCGGATGAATATGAAGGATCAAGAATCTTACCGGGTAAGAGCGAAGGTAAAGACCGAGAGTCTTAGCTGATAAGTGAGGACGACGACTCTTACCATGGTTAGCGCTCATCGGGTAAATTGTTGCATATAATATCGTTTTGTTGGACTAAAATCTTACGCGGTAAATAAGCGTAGTGTTGAATTTTGCTGATAAGCACTTACCCAGGTAAACGTTTGGTAAATGACCTCTAAGATAATAAAGAATTGTAAACTATAAAGACTAAAACAACAAAAATATTACAAACCATAAGGATGGAAATATTAATAAGTTACAAACAGCAGGGATGAAAATTACAATTTCTATACCACAAGGACTAGGGGTGTACAAAAAACCGTTAACCCGCGAAACCCGCAAAACTCGCCCAACCCAACCCGTTAACAACCCAATTAAACCCAACTCGTCTAACCGCCAAACCGCTAACCCGCCAATTAGGAGGGTTGAAATTGGGTTGAGCTAGGCCCAACCCGCCCAACCTGCCAACCCGCCGCTAATATATAATTTTTATAAAATATATATTAATAATGTATAAATTTTATATAATTTTTATTGATATTATGTTTGTATTTCGTTTTAGCTAAACGTATAGGTTACCAAAAGATATTCACGATCAAAGAATAATGACAAATAATCTAATTAATAAGCGAAAATTATTGAAATCTTTTTTGCTGCAACAACAAATTGATATGCCGGAGAATATGAATGATAATGATAGATATTTTGTTGACGGATCCATCAATCTAAATACCCCTTCATTTTATGTTGTACTTTAGTGGAAAGAGAACGCTTAGTTATAGCATTTCGTTACAACAACATTAAATCTTATAGGATGCCTAAAATGTCTAAGCGTTCTAATATGATTCTTTATAGGACGAAACAAGAAAAATGTCTTATCTAAAAGAGTTACAATATATTTATAGAATGATTTTGGACGTCCTAACAAATTCTATGACGCCTTTAAAATAGAATATTGTATTAGTTATTTTATACGACACGACTTGAAAAGTGTATATAACATAAGTGTCCTATAAATAGATGAGTTTTAGGGACACTTCTCAAAATATTTTTATAAAATAATTAATACGACATTTTATTTAAAGATCATTCTAAAACACTTGTTGAAGCGCTTAAAAACGTCATATAAACCTATTGTAACCTTTATGTAACTACTAACCCGTCAACCCAACCCAACCCAACCCGCCTCAACCCGCAAAGTTGGGTTGAGTTGGGTTAGGTTATACTTTTAAATAAGTTGGATTGAGTTAAGATTTTTCCAAACCGCCATAATTAAGTTGGGTTGTAAAAATGTTGTAAATCGCCCAACCCAACCCACGTACACCCCTAACAAGGACAAAAATTACAATTTTTAAAAAACCACAAAGACAAAAACGTAATTTGCGCCGGGAAAAAATCTACTTGTAAAAATAAATTGGTTCGGATGGATCGAGCTTAAGAGCATCCTCATCGTGGTTCTTTGACATATCTAATATAACGAACAAAGTAAATTACATTTTTGTTCTTGTTGTTATCAGTGATTATAATGTTTATTCATTGTTTTAAACTAATTATAATTTTTGTCACTGTAGTTGTCAGTTTGTTTCACTTTAAGTCCTTATGACTGACTGACTGACTGACTCCAGTTAAAAAAAGCTAGTTAACTTAAACGTGTTTTGGTCCTTTTACTCTTTCTTGTTTTTTTGCTTTTTGTTCTATTGAAGTATCGATTAGTTACACTTTTGGTGTAAGTGGTTGCCACTTACTATCAAATATCGTTCTTATTTTGAAATAATTATTTGTTAGCAATAGTAAAAGTCGTAATAAAACACTTGTAGCTCGAATTTAGTATTGTAATATCTTTTTTGGAAAGTTTAGGATGTCTACTACAAATCACTGACGATATGTCGTGCTTTTGGCTTTAAAATTGTCAAAAATGCGATTGTATATAGAACATGTCAGTTAAAGCAATGTCAATGTCATCTACAACCTTTTATGAGATCGATTGTATTCATATCAATGTCGTATATGAATAGTATAGGTAATGAGGCATGTGTGCAAACCGTTCTCAAACCGAAGTTAAAGCAAACGGGCTAAGGTGAGTTCAAATATATTTTAAGTGGGTTCACGTCAAACATGTGTGTTTTCACATAACCAATCAAATATATGTTGTGGAAAATGCATGATTTGAATAGTGTTATAAAGCGTGGTTATTAGATGCTTTATAAAAGTAAATTTGAACGTGAATTGAGCATGCTAAATGTTTATAAATCATTACTTGGAATATAATTTGATGTATTAAAACTTTCTGTTCACTAAAGCTTGTTTGGTTTGTTGTCACGAAAATATGTGATATGTTGGATTGTGGATGCTTATTGATAAATCACATAGAACGTTAGACATTCACAGGGGATGTCTAAAGTTGGGGGTTGATAAAATATATGAAATAAGTTGGATTCTCTGAATATATATCGATAAAAGATACAAGATATGGTACGTTTGCTGAAAAATTCTAAAGTTGGCGACTGGGAGCCCGATTAGCGGCTATTAAACACGGGGCCTGGGGTTCCAACTACATACATAGACTTGGAGGTCCTATTTATGTATGGACACAAACATGGGAGGTCTTACTTATGTATGTACACAGACCTGGGAGTTAATGTAACATCCGAAAATTTCGGTAGATAAAATTATAATAATTTTATATATCTTTATTATTATTGTGGTTTTGGATTCAATGTCTAAAATTTAGATTTGCTTTGGGTATCATCTTTTTAGGAGAAAAAGGCTCAAATAGGTGAAATTGTGAAAAATACACTCGATACAAGTCTGGCTATAGTGCCCATAGTGCCAAGAGGCACTATAGCAGGGCAAGGTCGCACAGGGTTGCAAGGAAAGATCTGAAACCGGTGGTACATATGGGGCGATAGTGCCTGGCGATAGTGACAATGTCACTATCGCATGTCATGATTGCCCGGGTTGGGTACTGCACTATAAAACCCGATTTTTCATCGGTTAGAACCATTATTAGAACCTCTAACTGAAGGATTCAAGGATGTAAGTTGGAGATTCAAAGTCTAGACCTCTTCTATATCAATATACTTGGTTTCTAGGTTTTCTTCAAAGCCTAGTATTGTGAGTTCATCCTAACTTTTCTTAAACTTTATACATGTCAAAATGCATCATTTCGGTCTACTAAACATCTCTCTTTAAAACCTTACATATTTATGTATTTCACTAACTTTTGAGTATTTGAGGAGATTTGGGTGTTTGCCCATAGTCTTGGAACATTGTTGAATCATCAATATAGGTGTTATAAAGGTGTATTTGGAATAAGGGGTGTTCTTACTTATAAATGAAAGTCATTCTTAGACTTATAAACCATTGGAAAATGGTAAATACAAGTGATCTGGTACTGAGTAACAAATGAACTATTAGGACTTGCCCTGTATGGTAATATCAAGTTAAAATGATGTTTTAAGACTTTTGAGAGAGGGAAACTATATGTATGATTGTAGTTGGTCACTTTAAAAGAATGGCTTATGTCAGACTGTAATGCAATGGATCCATAAGCATAGGAGTCAATTTGATTTAAAGGGGATAATCTCCCCGTTTGTAGTTAGAATTGGACATTGGGTTATCAGATGCTTTGAACTATAAATCACAAGTTGGTTGAATTATAGTCGTTGTCCGCTTAATGTAAATTTCTAGTGAATTAGTGTAACTAGGATCATTGAGAGGGCTTTGAACTATAAATCACATGTTGGTTGAACTCATTGGCCATTAGATCTTTAGTATGAGCTCTATATCATTGAATTGTGGTTTACTTTTATGTTCCACCACTACCCATGGAAAATCGGGTCTCCCCCGTCATCGTAAGATGTATTTCAGACCTTATCATCTCTATTCGGAAGGTATGAACTTGGTTTTTAAATTAGCAGTCTAAACTTTATATGTTTGAGATTATTTACATTAATTATAAATGTTTGTTCTCACTAGGTGTAAAGCCTAACACTTTTCTTAAAGTGACATGTATATAAGGTTCACTTAGCAGTGGCTCCAGAGGCTTTGAGCGGAGAGATGGGATGCCAATATAGGCAGTTTTGTGGATGACAGCTATTGGTTAATTGACGTTATATATACATTGATAGGATTCTTTTCGGAGAAGATAGAGACAACGTCTATAATATAGACTTGGAATAGTTTATATTAGTAGGTTGTTATTTATTCTCTTTATAATTTGGGTTGTAAACACTATATTATTTCCCCATTTTGGGTGATTTCATATTTGATAGGCTCTATTTCTATTTAGACATTTGGTCTATTCTAGGGGTGTTACAAGTTGGTATCAAATCTCTAATTTAAGTGAACTGGGTATCAACTTAAGATGGCTAAACTTAAGCTGAGACTTTAAGAAATGATTTGTGAGTTGTGGGCAGAACTGTTAATATGAGAGAGCAATAAAGTCGACGAAAATGCACTATTTGTAAATTGCAATGATGATAACGAAAATTCTTTTTTTTTTTAAGTACATAATAGTTATGTACGGTAAATAGAACAAATAAACTCACACACCATTCTTACCTTTGGTGAGGTTTGAACCCTTGACCTTCTAGGAGGCCAATGACTCACATACTGCTAGGCCAAAGGCCCTTTGGTAACGACAATTCTTATGTATAACATATTCAAAATT